ATTTGCGTTGGTGACCTGGATACTCCACATAAAGAACTGCTCTTTCTTTATCGGGGAAGTAGTTGCCCCAAGCCCATAACACACGGTCGGGATCAGATATCTTGACACGTTCATGTTGTCGTGTAATTCGAGCCTCTAACGATGGTGCGCTAACGTGCAGAAATATTGCCTCTGAAAAGTCGTGCCTATTTTCGATAAGGGTCTCGAGCTCATGCTGATTTAACAGCTCGTCGTTATGTCCTTCGACTGAAACGCCCAAATCTCTAATCCTATTCTCCGGCATGCCTTCCGGTATATTTTCGTTGCGTTTAAAGCCTCTACCATGCCATCCAATCCATGACCAGCTGGGAAATCCATTGCGCCGCTTTCCTGCTTTGTCACACCTAGGCCAAAGCAAGGGAGAGTGCAGTTGACCACAATCGTTGCTTGATTGCGTCCCTTTTGATTGGAAGACCTGCGATATGCCGTACTTGAACAATTTTCTCTGTTATTTCACTGACTTCTTCGTAACGTGCCAAAACACCTCGGATCGCGTTGAGGATATCTTCTGGATGCGCAAGACTAAGGTTCGCATAATCGTGTATCCTCGGCCAGATTTTCGGATAACCCCCCTCACCCATTGAAAAGTACGGATAGACGGGCGTATTCCTGTACTCATTGAGCTTGAACATGGGTGTAACGCGACATTCCTCCCATGCTTCCGCGTGTCCAATTTCACCGCACTGAAAGTAAACTTGCTGATCTGTAAAGACGAGACTTCGCCTTGCCAACAAGCCCTCCTGAAAGGTCCAGCCCCTTGTGGACCATTTTGACTGATCCATTAAAAGCTTCGGGTCAGGAAGCGTTGTAGAAAGTTCAAGGGAGCCGATGCGTGTGCATGGGGGAGGTTGGCTTTCCTTGACCACTCCTGGTAGGCCATAGTGCGGTCTATTTCCAGCAGCTGCAATAATGGTGATAGACGATCTACTATAGATATGGTGCATCTGTGTAATCTGCGCCGCCTTGTGGTTTATGTCCTCTTGACTCTGGGGGTCTTGGATTATGCAGTATCTGTCGCACTAGAGATACCGCATCTTCAGTTTTTGAGCCACTAATATGGCATCCGAGATCGTGTTTGGAAGGTCGGTAGGTAGTTCGTCGTAGCAGTCTCTTGGGAGGTCTTCGTATATACCCCACATATAAGACAGAGCTGCGTACGAGAAGTCCTCTTTCGGGGCAGGAACAACAGTTCGAGTCTCACGGTCGATTAGTCGCAAGCCTAATACTTGATCCATACATCGATAGCGCTTGCTATCGCAGTTGTAATGTTCCGTTCGACATTCCTCTAACCGTTTATTGACCATGTCGAAATTGACATGGGGTTTGATACAGGCTGCGCGGAGAGCTTGTCCGTGCAGGTCCATGGTTCGAATTTCTGCAATATAGCCCACAAAATCACGGTTAATGCAGTCCTCTTCATTCCTCCTCTCGACTTGCTCTTTCGTCCACAAGCTGACGCCACGGCTAGGAACATAGCTTTTGTTTTTGAAGGTCAGATAAGTTCTGTCTTGGGATGTCTTTGCAATTAATATCAACTTCCGTTTCTTCGGATATCACTGTGTATCCCAAGATGGATAAACGAAATGCATTGCTTGACAGAACACACATTTGGGATCGCGGATAAGTAGTTCGTTGGTACCAAAAAACAGAACGTAAGAATTGAAAACAGTGGTTCGGAGGAATATTGCATCGAAATTGATCCAATCACACCTGCTGCAAAGATACGGCTTCCTTGCATGGTCAACAGTGCTCTTCATATCTTCTAAAGTAGATCCGATGCCTGTGTAGTCGATGTTTCTGGGGATGTTGGGAGGACATTTGCCTGTGTTCCTCGCCAATTTTGGTCTGTTTCAGCATCTCTATGAGTCTCTGCGGGAGACGCTAATCGCTTCGAGGCCCGGCGACGCCGGAACAGCCGATGCAGAAACCGGCGAGCAATTGCAAAAAAGCCCATTTGGAAAAAATCAATCGGCGATCGTGGAATTTTTGCAAAGCTGAGTTGACATCTTATGCTTTGGAAAGAGTCTCATCATATAAGCGAAATCTCACTGAGAGTAGATTTGAGCACCAGTCTGACGTGGCAATTTTGCCGCACTTGTTTCTAACATTCAGATGCTATTGATGGATGCCAGCTGCTATGCTGTCGTAAGCGTACTATCCCCGCTCTGCAGCCTCACAAAATGCAGAGAGATGATACATCCGGTAGCAAGCCATAATCTTGTTTCTCCTGGTGGCAAGCCTGTCGACTGCCAATGATAAGACATATCGACCAATCCAAAACTTCACACCATCCATAGGAGCGAAATTTCTTCCAAGCAAATAGCAATATATCTCGAAAATCATCCACACCTATGCATTCATTAACTGTGGAGCAGGCAATCTCATAGCTGAGACACGTCGTTGGTTGCATATTGTTGAACAGTGCAAAGTGATTGAATTATACACTTCTGAAGAGCAGAATAACAGCAGAAACTACCTTTTTATATACATGGTTGCTGCGTGCACGCGCCTTGAAGTATCGTGAGTAAGTCACGCTTGGTAGTGAGATAAACAGGGGTTCTGCCTTGGTGTTGAGAAAGGAACACGAGATATACGGCAGTTAAGCTCGGGGTAAAAAGTAAAGCACAGTCTGACATGATGCTTACATATCAATGCCCTTACAAGTGCCGGAGGACGATATGTGGTATGAGTCCCGAGACCGATCCATAGGTTATGGACGTCCGCCGATTCCGTACGCTGCTTTGAAGCATTCGTAGTCTCGTCGCAGTCTTGTCGCAGCTAAGAGAACTCATCTGTGGCTACACGTTGCTTCTGATCGAGTGACGGCTGTAGCGAGGTCGAGGGGCTGAGAAGCGTCCTTAACACCCCGGTGGCTTGTTTACGATTAAATTTCACCCGGGTCGATGCGGATCAGTGGCAGGAGGGTGGAAAGCCATACGCTGGAGCGCGGCGCTGATCTTTCGCGGGAGACTTTCTGACCGTGTCTGCGGCGTTTCGTGGGAGGTGGTGACTCCGCTACCCGCTTTGGGGTCGTAGGGGGTGTCGTGATGGGGTGGCTTTGGAGGCGAGAGAGAGTGCGCACGCTTCGTGGATCAGCCGCCCATCCGCGGCGCACAGCAGGAACGTATGCAGAAGGACAGTAAGCACGCGTGCAGAAGCACGCACATTCGGGGGTTGATTAAATGATTGGTGGCTCCGAATACAAGGGGCCCAGGCGCTCTCATTTCTATCTTCACTTCACTGAAACCGCCCCACCGAGAGCCATTCAAGCACACAAAACGGCAAGACAGCAGGATACCCTTGGTGAGAGGTGATGAAGAGCTCATGGTGTCGTTGAAGCCCGTGGTGGGCTGCGAGTGCGAATCGCCAGAGGAGCAGGGCCCGCGTGCCGTCGCTGTGATTCGACATCGCCGAGACAAAAGACCACGACTGTTTGACTGCTGTCCAAACATGGGAAAAGACCGAGGCGCGTGACTGAAGCTCGAGGTGACCATGGATTTGGTGAATCCCTCATAATTGGCAACAGCTACTGCCGGCTGGGGTTCCTAGTGCTCACGCTGACCATGCTCCACGGCGTACAATATTGGCTGGTATAATCCCCAGCCTTTTTGGGACTGGACGGCCAGGCCCGGAGGGGATAAGAAGGGCGAATTGCGATAATTTTCGAGCGGAGGGAGCGTCGAAACAGAACAGGGCTCGGCGGTACTATTTGGGGCGAGCTGCGGACGCACGCAGCGGAATGCGTGTCCGGTAACGGAGCACCAGCGGTGAAAAATGTCAGACATGTAGCGGGGGTTGCAACTCACACTCTGTGCACCCGCCGGAAACTCGGCGTTGCTAGTGCATCACGGCCGTGCCTCCGGCGCCAGCGCCGTTCGGAGCGTGCGATAGCGTGGGCGATCGTCTTTCCCAGGCGCGTTAATCGGGCGGGGATCAGCTGGCCAATGCGAGCGGAGCCTGAACGACGCGCCTTCTTCAGCACTTCTTCCCGGCGTGCGTTCGGATGCAGCAGCGCCTGCCACCACCGGCCAGGATATTATGGAATGGGCGGAGCATCTGAGCGAAAAGGCGGAAGGACGGAGACGTGATTGCCTGTCTGTGCGATACATCGGTCTGCCGTACCTCATCAGCTCATTCCACCGACAACTGACAGTGGTGCCCTACGCTTCAGCCTTCAGGTGGGCTCGAAGGATCCGCCGACAGTGGAATCAACGCCGGCCCAATCTTGACAAGGCATTGTGTTGTTATTTGGTAGATTATGGCCCGAGCGGCGTACTTGTATATCGAGGGCGAAGACGGCGGTGTACGATGTTTCATCGGGGCTTTCTGCGGCGGTGTTGACGCGGTAGCTGAATACAATGGTGATGGTAGCAACCATGGATGCGGGTGCCAGAGGTTGCATTGGTGGTCGCTGGCTGGCAGCTGTAAAGCAGAGTGGCGGCCTTAAGCGAGGGCCACGAAAATACGACAACGAAGACTTTGATCAACACAGTATAATATACAGCGGTCGCATTGCGATGCAAATTAGTAGGTCGCATGAAACATTCTTTGAGAAGCTGTAGAAAAAAATGCGCATAAAAACATCTACGTTTCGTGGTGATGTTGTGTCATGAAAAAGCAGCGGCACAGTGGGTTGTGGCGCCAAGGTGCGGGGTTGGGGCCGGGCTCAGGCAGGCACACCAAGCACGCCTGCCGTCGGCCGCTGACCCCCTCCGTCTGCACCTGAATCCGAGAAGCCTACTACCGTCCGTCTCCGCATCACCAACCGAAAGCCAGAGTGCAAGTGCAAGCCCAAATCAGGCAAGAAGCGAAGAGAAGAGAAGAGAAGAAAATGGAGTCAACAAACAATTGGTTTGGTCGCTGCGACGTGTCGACGGATACCTGCATGAAAATGGCCACAAAAGCACACTCCCTGGACCTCCGCCCTCAAAATTTGCCCAAAGTCACACAACCCGCCTTTCATGGAACGCCAACTCGCCGGACGCCGCTGGACGCAGGACGAGCAGCTCGCCTGCGTTGAGGCGGTACGCTACGTATTGCGAACGACAAGCAACCTCATGACGCTGGCGGATGTATACAAACGCGTCTCAGAGCACCTCGCACGCCACTACTCAATCCAACGCAGCAGGAGAGCCGTGTACGCCTACGTCCGCTCCAATCTGACTTTCCTCCTCTCTGAAATCAACAGCGCTATGAGGCAGAGGTCGGCATTGCCAGCCAAGTAAGTCACGCCCTGCAGCCATTCTCCTCTGGTGATGATGAATAACAAACGGATGACAGCGACCATCACGAATCGCTTCGCTACGAGCAGAACCCGGCACGCTCGGCCCTCCTCGCGCCTGGTTTCGCCCGAGACGAAGACCACCTACACATGCTGACATGGTCCGAGTGGGAGCTGGATGCCTTCTTCTGGCCTCTCCTTAGCGACATCGATGCGGGTTGGTCTCCGGCGCCACAAGTGTGAATGTGCAGGTTCAGGGAAAGCTTGATGCTCCGTGTCAACAAGGACACCAAAGTATTGTCTAGGGGTCGGAATGCAATGTAAGGATAGATGTGAGGTTAGGAGCAAAAAAGTTTTTGTTTTATCATTTCAGCGAGCTAATCAACAGCTCCTTCTGCTTCCCGCATGCTGAATTGACGGTCAACCGAACATGCGCCACCCCGCCTGCGCCGCGAATGCCCCAAGGAGGATGCTGCCCTGTCACCTCTGCGCCCCACCACCGCCGACCCCAACCTCGGCACAATGCCACACTCGCGGAGATAATGAGAAAGTGATTGGGCGACTGTTGTCATTGGCTTTCGGAAGCCGGCAATTAGATCCAACGTGTCCGCGCTCTGGCTGTTTTCCTCTCTTCCCCGTCGGCTCCTTTCCGCCCGTCGTACCAAGCATTCTACTCTTTCCCGGACTCGTGCGCATGATGAAGATCGCAATGAAGCTAACCAGCCTGACCATCTGCCTCTCCCTCGTGCATGCCTGCCACGCCTCCTGGCTGTGGACTCCCGCCGAACTTCGAATGGACCGTCCTGCCTGTACGCCAATGCCTCCTCAAGGTGTGGGACAAACATTTCTTCCTTGCCCTGGGACATGGGCATTTCCTGGCAAGCGCTTGCGGTCGCGGTTGACAGCGGCTCAGCCGTAACGGCAATCCAGGGCTGCTTGGCCAACGATGGAAGCGCCAGCGGCACAACTGCCTGTGTCTTCGGCCTTGCAAGCCCCCTAATCGGCATCGGGACCGCCTTCCAAACCGTCCGGGCAGCGGGCTGGTTCGCCCGCGCCTCCAACACCTGGATGCAGTCGGGCCCAGAGGAGATCGCCCTCGAAACCTTTCTCCTAACGTGCTGAGACTCACCAGCGCCACTTTTGAAGCCGCTTTCCATGACATGCTCCGCCGCTCTTTCGGCCCCGCGCGCCTGAGCTCCTGGGGCCACGCCAACCGCACCCACCGCCTGGAGCCACCGCGACGCCACAGTCCCGCTATTCCGCTTCTGGCACACCGCACTGGGCCTCATTGACCTCGCCGCGCGCGAGCACAGCACTGGTGCCGCCCATTTCACCTTATCGTACGCCAACCACGGGCTGGATCGGCGCCAGAGCTTCCAGCACGAACGTATGTCCAGCCGCCTCTTCCAAGGTCGCTTTGACGCCGCCGCCGCCGCCGCTCTCGCCCATCCCATCAGGCCCGCCTTGGACGCCGTTTTTTGTTTCGCCACCAGCAGCAGCGGGTGACCCGATGGCAAAGTACTCTCGGTGCAGATGTACGGCAATACCCACCGTGCCACTTTTCGGATTCGCCTCACTCGGCATCTTCGACAATAGCGATGCGGATGCTGCCCTCATGGCTTTCGAGCCGGTCGGGCTGCCCTTACCTGTCCACGACTGCTAGTGGGGGATTTCAGCGGATGTTGGCCGGGCTGGACTGCTGCGGTAATTGCCGCGCTGAACCAGCCTGCAGACGAAAAATGCGATCCACTTGCCTGCCCTTCGGCCGATTTGGCTCACATATGGCGTCGTCGTCGTCACAGGCCGCCATCGCAGTCCATCCCAGCGTCGTCACTGCCACCGTCCCCGCCACCACAAGGGCCTAGCGGCCAGCATCCTTCCTCCCTCAGCCACCAATCTCCGAAGCTAGTGTCGGCGCCACCATGACTATCGTGCTGCCATCACCTGTTTCGGCCAGCGCGCTTCAAGGACGTCCTCTACCAGGGTGGCAGGTGTGAACCAACAAGGAGGAGCCACAAACGAGGGGCGGACCCGGCGCCGCCGCCGCCATTTAGCTAACGTTGTGGTAGCTAACACAGCCAAGTGGGTGGGGTGCTTCCCAAATGGCGAGAATGGTGGGCAGGGCTGCTGGCGTGGTGGCATTGTGTGGGCTTGGGACGGGCCGGGCCGGGCCGACGACCGCCTACCTCCCCCGGCGCGATCAACGACCAGGTAGCCCTCGCCTCGCTGTATCCCGGCTTGGCCGATGCGGTTGTGCGCGCCCGTGTGGTGGGGGGCGTTTTGGACTACCGTGTCGAGCACGTGGACTTGCTGGTCGAGATTATTATCGAAGCCGGCTTATGGATGCTTGGCGATGACGATGGTGAGGTTGCTTGCGCAGTTGCAGCGCCATTGGGCATCGATGCTTCCCTTTGTGGAGATCCGGATTGTGCTGGCAATGTGCATGGCATCTGTACGACAGTAAGTTCGCTTTCCCCAGGAATTAGCGACAGCTGACGCAAAGCCAGCGTAATTTTGGAGGATGTGAGTGCTTGAAAACCACCTATGCCTACGCTCAGCCGGGAGGCAGGGCTCTGTGGGACTTGCAGCAAGTGTGGTTGGACGGCCTGTTGAGTGACTAGGGATGGTCGTGCAGAGCAAACGATCCAATTAACTTGGAAATGAGCCTCTTTAGCCAGTAACCTCTCCACACTCCCATATTAAAGACCCCGCTAATCATCTCGTCGCAGAATTTCCCGCGTATTTTGCTCCAAGGTCGATTCCTACATCGACAGCCGTGATGTTAGCCTGAACTTGACCACCGAGGACTTGAATGACCCGAGCGCATGGAGCGGCTGCAACGGATGGAAATTCCGGTTTCATTGGGATGAATGGCATGATTCCGTGTTTCCCGCTGCCTGCTCAGACATACACGAAGCGTTCTACACTACTTGTAAGACTCTGACTCTCATGTCTTGTCCTACACTGACAACGTAACAGACACGCATTCGCCGCGTCTGGCACTCAGGACTTCTTATCGTTTGGGTCTGCCGGTTCTGCTGTTGAAAAGCAAGGAGTGTCGGACCTGGTCCTTTTCACGGCGTACTGTTCCATCATCAATAAGCCGGGGTTCGTCATCTGTTATGCATCATCCATGCAAAATACTGACCAGTTACAAGGTCCTGCGTGTGCAGAGACATAGACGCACAAAACAGTGGTATTAACTGTTAGACTGTGTATTACTTTTTGCCCCGAGCTTAACTGCCGTATATCTCGTGTTCTTTTCTCAACACCAAGGCAGAACCCCTGTTTATTTCACCACCAAGCGTGACTTACTTACGATACTTTAAGGCGCGTGCACGCAGCAATCATGTATATAAATAGGTAGTTTCTACTGTTATTCTGCTCTTCAGCAGTGTACAGTTCAATTACTTTACACTGTTCAACATTAACATTGCGTATGGAGGTTATTCTTGATTGATTCTTTTTGCCCTGTGCAATAGGATTCATTCCTTGCCTAAATTGATAGCGCGGTAATCAATTGACCTTCTTTTGTTATAGTAGAATTGATAACTTCCCGCATTTCCCTGTTTATTAGTCGGGCATCTATGTGCGTCCACCGGCTTCTCCGCGATTTTCGTGCACCATTCCAGTTTCTCTCTGTCGTATAGGCTGATACTGGTGGAGCCCGCGCTGCAAACACGCTGATATTAATTTTGAAGGGGATGGGAAATCAGGTGTCTTGAAGAAAGTAGGCATAATATACTAGCATCGACGAAAAGTGCTTCTAGAACTGAAGATCGTCGGTACCCATCTTTATCTTGTAAAACGAACACCATGGACCTAAAATTGAATATTTTATATTTCTGCTTAATAACTCTGCATCTTTCTTTGCTAATTGTAGACGCATCTCTCTCTATCTTAGAGGTCTACTTATATTGAGCTGGGGTTGGTTCGTCGCATAACAACGATTTGAAACCTTAGAGCCTTTCATAAAACTAACCTTCTCTATTATGCTAGAAGTTAAGAGTCTTGCTTGACTTAGAGCCGGGAAGGCGATAGGCGAGGCAATTGGTTTAGACGTATACAAATCGCAAGAATACTACGTGCAAATTCTGTGAATCCTGGAATGCATTTTGAAAAACCTTCAACTTAATTTGCATTGCGTCCCAACAGCATTCTATGTAGTTAAATAAAAGACCCGCCGGGCCGAGCTCTATTTCATCCCATCTTACCCTTCAACCAGGTGGTGTAGTCTAAGTTACTCCAAGCACGCCGGCATACGTCGCCTACGGCTCTACTCGTTCACACTATAGAAGTCTTAGGTGCCACGGAAATGGCTTCAAAGCTTTTTAAGAGTAAACATGAAGGATAACGCAAAGGAAACAAGGAGGCCTCTGGGCGAAAATGGCCAACACTATGGTTGGGAGTTAAATCCTATTGCGATCGAGGCTCTCTGCTGCCCGGCCTAATCTACATTGGAAGCGGCGCAGCAAAACTTCGTTTGAACTCATGGATTATCCCTCTGAGGGTCAATCCAGCAAGGGGATTTCTTGCATGCGGCACCACCGCTTCGCCATCTTACTGAGACGTCTGTCCAGCAGCCGATCACTCGGCCTCTCCGTTGGATTTCGAGACTCAGCCCAGCTCTGTAGAACGGTTGGAGAGGATACATCGCCTCCTGACACAGCGAACAAAGAACGCATTTCTTCACTTATAGCCAACGACAAGGTATCATCTTTAACGTCCAGCAGCATCCACGCTGTCGTGATCCTTGGTAGACATTTCGCCGCCGCCATATTCCGGTGTTCTGCAGCTGGCCCGATGATACGTCTGCCTGTGATTGTGAGAACAGGCCCATTTGCCGTAGGATTGAGGTTGGCTATGAGCTGGGATCTTCTTCGTGGCTGGGCACCACCGCCAATCGAAGGTGAAGACGGTTCAGCTACCTGAAAGGGTGTTGCGATACAAAGACGAGCCGTGTAAGTCTCGGATGTAGCGCTGCACAGACACGAAGGTATGGGCTGGTATTGGGCTTTCCGTAAGGTCAATGACTTCTGGCTGGGTAGCGCGATCGGCCGAGGAAGGCGCTGCATCCGGAAGGGAAAGTGATGGTGTTGAAGGATGATCGATTAGTAGCTACGGTGGGTTTGAACGATATGCGTTCAAAGCAGACTACACTAAGCCTAATCGGGAAACAAACGTGTTGTAGCAAACGCAGCCGGCCTACCGGTGCCTGCCGGCACGATCCTCAGAAAGCTTCATCAACTAGGGCGCTAGTACCAGAGACCGGTGATGTGATCAATTTGGCAGCTTGATCGTACCTTCCATATTCCTACGTGACGCGCAGCCCGCGATCCTCGACCGTGTAGGTGAACAAAAACCCAGCATCACCACCACCTCTCAATCAACACTCAACACGCAACACGAAAATCTAGCCAATCCATCTCGATCAATACCCCACACAAGGCCGATACATCTTCCGCGAAATACGAGTACACAAAACAATGCCAGCTCAGAAGAAATCCAACCTCACCAACGGCAAGCGCGATGTAAGTTCGATCCCATCCTCAGATCTACACAACAATCGCCCTGACAACGACAAGGCAAGCTGGGTCAAAGTCCCTTCCGGCGGGCCCCAACTTCCCAACGGCTCCTCTGCGAAGCAGGACAAGCGATCCCCTGCTGACGATGGCAACGGCATCTTGGACCTTGAGCTCGATGAGCTCAGCGCGCTGCTCGAGCCCGTTGGCGTCAACGGCTGTGGCGGAAAGAGCGACCGCAGGTGATGCAGAGGGCTTCGTGGGAATGCGTCGGTCAGGTGCTTTCTTTTTTTTTTCCTCCTCCGTGAACGGCTTCTCCTCGAGAGGCGACCACGATGCGAATGAGATCGACTCACATTTGACTTGGTCTTCAGTTTCCCATTGCGTCGATGGGAGTGTTTGCAATCGGATGTGGCTCGTTGATTCATTGGATGCTACTATACCAACACGCCGCTCATGATCGGCGCCATGTCTCTCACCGCACCACCACCGTCGTCGCCTGGCCTACGCTGACCGATGACTATAATGACAAGTCGAAGAAGGCCGGCGGCGCCATCCTCGGCGTCAGTAGCAGCGAGGCAAACAAGCCGATGGTGAGTAGACACTCGTTTTTCCAGTGCTTGTCCCCGACCTCATTCTCAATCTCTGGTCGCTTCCTCTCCTCACCCTCTCGCACGCGACGCCCCATTAGACATGCCCTCTCCTTTAACAAAGGCGAGCGTCACCGCTCGCTCGCGTTGCGACTGTTCCATTACTGAGAGTGCCGCCCGCTGTAACCATCGATGCGGTCAAGATGTCGCTCCCGCCGCCGAGGGAACTACTCAAATTGCCCTAGCCCCCATCGTTGGCCCTCACTGGCTGGCGTAAGGCTGGCATTGTAGCAGCGGCGGCCCTGCTCTATACCCAACCGGCTACTTCAAGCGCCAAAGAATCACGGCGCGCCCTGGCTTATAAATGCCGACAGGGAGGAGGGGGGCAACACGATATGCCAATCCACCCCAAGTTCCGCCCTCCGACATGCATCTCAACCGCAGCGTGGGTCCTGCTGGACGACGACCCCGCCCAGCAGCCGGAGCTTCAGGGCCTTTGTTCGCGGCGCCGATCCCGGGCCGAGGGCTTCCTCCTCCCCTTCGCGCACCAACTGCGTCACCCTCTGCCACAGGCCACCGTTCCAGGAGTGTGTGTCGTCAACAACTTCGCCTTGTCGTCGTCTCCCAACCTGCAGCGCGCCGTCCCGGCTCTATATTCGACGGCATTTGTACTGCAATGCTCGGAGCTACTCGCTCGGCAGCATTCCGTTGCCCAGCGCCGCCACCGTCGGCTTGGGTAGCGGGCAGAATATCCGTGGTGCTGGTCAGAAGGAAGATCGCGTGTGTGCAGTGTCGGTCTGGTCACCCGAGGAGATTGACTAACGGACCGCAAGTGGGGTTGATCCTCGCATGAGCCTGGCTATGGTGGGTGGAGAACCTTTTGGCTTTGGTAGTTGAAGGACCTTCAGCTCGGGTGAGTGCAAAAGTTCAGTTAGCTTTTGTGGTTAAAAAAGGGTTAGCTATGAAGATTCAAAAGGTCTTTGCTTTGGGGATTCAAAAGGTCTAGTGTCGGCCAGCTTGGACAATGCAATCGTTAGCGTTGATGAGGAGCTCAGCAAGACTCTGGATCGGGTGAGGGTAGGGAGGTTCTTTGGTTACATGGTCTCGTGGCTTGCAGGTTGCTTGTTTCCATGCCAGCAGCCAGAGAAGCTGCGGATGTGTAGGTGGGCACGTAGTCGTATAATTCCGCACAACCAGCACAATCACCGAGCGCAGTGGCTTAAGCGACACGGTCAAAGGAGAGGCTACTTCCTCGGACGGATTCTGATATTGTGATCTGGCGAAAGCTTATTGCAAGGTGTGGAATTTGGTTTTGCATACCAGTGCTGCACGCTCGGCCACTATAGAACGTCACAGTGATAAAAGCCACCGTAGCTGGGTAGTAAGATGAATTCGAGAAGATAGAGAACGCCCACGAAATCTCCTACCGCGCAAGGGATCGAGTGAGGGATAGTAGGGTATGGGCGAGGCCGCGCCGATAGATTGATGACCCGGGTAAGTACGGCGGGCGGCGCCAAGTGCAAAAAGAAAAAAAGTCTTAGTCGGAGGTAGGGGTAGTAAAAGAGGAAAACGCCTAGGAACCAAAGAAGCTCTGCCGCCGCTCTTCAACTCCAGAGAGCTCAGCCGGAAAACGCTTTCCGCCGCATTGCAAATCGGGAGAGCCAGGCCAGAAGATGAAAAAGCCCGGTGCAAGAGTCAAACTAAGCGGCCTCGCTAGGCCTCTAAACTCGAGACCGTCGCCTCCAGAGATCAATCATCTTTGCTTTGTTCAGCCGCCTGTCCCTCCAATCCCACGCGTTGCCGTCGTAGCACTGGTTGGCGCCGGCGTCGTCCGAATCCTCATCGCCTGAGCAATTCCACGCGACCTCACAGCACACACTCTCCCGATTGTCCAAGCCCTGCTGCTCCTCGTAATCCTCAAAATTTTACCACAAAATGATCTTGCGCTGGAAGCCATTCCCGTGCATCTCTGTCAATTCCCGACAGATGAGAAGGATGTCACCCCTCTCGTCGTAGCGTGCGAGCGTGATCTCGTGAATGCGAGGCCAGTCGGTCGGCCCCTCGATGTTGTTGCTAATCGGGATGGCCAGCTGACGCACTATCCCAATGGGGTTGCTGCCGTTGCCGCCGGTGGCCCCTTCAGGCCCGGGAGAGTCGGAGGAGTTGGAGGAGTTGGCGCTCATAACGGCGGCAGCTGCGGACGGTCCTGAGGTGAAGTCAGCTTTGCACAGAAAGGATGATTACTTTTCGCACCTCGATCGACGGTTGCGGTGACGCAGCGGGCAGGGGGGATGCGTAAGAAAGACAGGTAGGCCTAAGCAAGAGAAGCTAGTAGAAGCGGCGGGTGGTGGTGGGCGGTGCCTGCGCACGACGCACTCGCGGCACTCGTTACGGAAAGGATGCTGTACTGGAGTTACCAGGGAGAGCGCCGCGAGCTGTCCAAAGCCCTTGTGGGGTGAGAGACGTCAGTTTCTCGCAGCGTCACCAGTAACCTTATGGATGCGGGTGCAGCTGGCTACGCCGAAGGCTTAGATACGTCCGCAGCCTACCCGGCTGGCTGAAGCCTGCCCCAATCGGGCAAGACTGGCTCATAAGTCTTTTCTTGCTTGCCTTCGCGCTTGTCCACAGCATCCCTCGACATGCCGCCATCACCTTGGAGCCCCGGTTGCTCGAGTTTGCTTTGAGCCCGACGATTCTCGAATTACGCGGTTTGCTTAACCCTCACAAGAATAGAATCTCCGCATCTCCACCTGGTCATGCGCATCTATCTATGGTGTGTTGGTAGATGGGGCACGGTCGACTGCATCGGATAGTTGGGGCGGCTCGGTGTTGTCAGCGTCCCGCCGAGCCTTTGTTGCTATTAGTCATCTTGATTCTCATCTTGTTATAGCTTGAAATTGCTGCACTGAGGCCAAGGCTGTCGAAGACGAGGATGACTTAGAAGTAGAGACGGCACCCAAAACTCCACTGCATCATGGTGCTTAAAACAGTCCCACAGACAAAAGTAATCGCTCAAATCAGGGGGTCTTGATACCATATCCACCGGCAAAACAAAGCTGACCAGTCTTGTTAAGCTGCAAACAAGACCACGATACGCAAATACGAGCCGATCACAGCGGCACTGCCTATCCTCAAGTTATTGCAACCTATTGTTGTGAAACGACAAGATCTTCCCTTATGTTGCGAACGCAGTAGCATAGAGATAGTTTCAGACAAGACGTTTAGTTATTTCTTCGTACTGTGGCCATACTACAAGATTTACGTGTGGGTTACGTGCTACACTAGCCCTATTTAGAAAGGCGAAGCGGTTACTACTCTCCGGATATTAGGGAGGTGAAACATTTCTACTGCCTGGAAACGCTACCCATCAGTATATTCAGGCTGTTCTGGCAGCAAAAGTAAATAAAGCCCACGCTATACTAACTCGATAAGTGTAAATATGGAGCTAAACACCTTCCTAGTCCTATCTAAGAAGGCTTAGCAACCGTTAAATTCCTTCTCGAGCATGAAATAGATTTAGCGCAACACCTTCTTTCTTCTCAATCGTTTGCTACAAATAAGCATTCGTTCCAGTACTATAAGCTCTACTATCAATTACCTGTCACCATAATAATCCACAATGTCAAACTACGGCTCTGAGAGCAGCTTCGCCAAGAGCACCGGCGAGACCGGCGTTATTCGACAGAACCCCGAGAATAACCACCGCATGATCAACCGCGAGGGAAAGCTGCTGGGGTACCCGTCGCGGGGCTGTTCTACTCCCAAACTGAATCTCACCGTTGCCGAATACCGCCAGGACCCCGAACACGAATGCGCACTCAGCTGCTGAATGCAGGTCTCGCAAATCATCCTCCTTGGCGGACTGGTGTGATCAGGTCCCCATCGATCGGCGGCAGACATTAGCGGAGGTCTCTTCGCAATGCTCTCCCCCGACGAATTTTACCCGGCATGCATTATCCACAACGTGACGAATGATCGCCTGCGCAAACACGGAAAACCACGCTGGACACTGCACGAATTTGAACTAGAATACAACTTTAAGATAGTATACGATAACCAAGTAGGGGTAATTACCAAACAGCAGTACTTTCGCGCCGACCGGACCAAACAGTACATCTGAGGGCCAAACAGCATATCACCACCAAAACCCACTAAAACCCACTATATTTAAACCACTATAGAACGTCAACGCAATAAGAAATATAATTATTTTTTATATTTTTATAATACTAGAGATGCTAAAGAATACTAATTTAATTAAAAAAGATAGATATTATATAAGAACGTTAACGTTTTAACGATAAGGTGCTGTTTAAGGCCTAAAAACTGCTATTTAGTCCAAAAATCGCGAAAGTACTGCTATTTGGTAATTACCCCTAACTTCTAACTAAGTACTGGTAGGAGAGTACACGTATAGGGATAAGAAGGAATTAGAGGAGGAATAGGGGGACGGGACTCGGAGGAAGAGAAGATGGAAGAATAGGAAAAGAACCCGCGTAAAAAAAAGGCATCTACTTATTATAATTTACCCCAGTTTCATTCTCTAGGGGATAATTACCTGCTAGACGTATATAAATAGACCAATTCGAGATCTAAACTGGCACTTTTAATCTTTACCTTGTTCTCAAATTAACTTCTCTATCCCCTGTTCACCATGCCGCTTCCGCGAGACCATCTGCGGATTCTACTCGTCGGAAGCGCGGGTCGAGAACATGCCTTTGCCTGGAAGCTGTGTCAGTCACCTCTAGTCGAAGCAGTGTTTGTGGTTCCAGGCAATGGTGGAACGGATCACTCTTTGCCAAAAGTTGCCAACGTCAATGGCGTTAGTGCCAAGAATTTCGATGATCTTCTCGAAGTTGTGAAAACGAGGAAGATCAATTTCGTTGTTCCAAGCGCAGAAGAACCACTCGTGGGCGGCTTTGTCGACAAGTTCCAATAAGGTACGAAATCGCTACTCATCCAGTTTAAACGCAGTATCTTATTAAACAATGATTTACTCCAGCCGGGGTTTGCTGTTTCGGACCATCCGAAGCGGCAGCACGTCTAGAAGGCTCCAAAGCTTTTGCCAAGGCTTTCATGAACCGGCACGGGATTCCTACTGCACGCCATCGGGCTTTCGACTCCTTTACGGAAGCGAAGGAATACCTCTACGCAGCTGAAGGACCGGTGGTGATCAAGGCGTCGGGTCTGGCAGCGAGGAAGGGTGTCCTCATGCCAACTAGCATTGAGGAGGCCGTGTCAGGTCTAGAAAGCATGATGGTGATGAAGCAGTTCGGTAAGGCGGCAGATGAGGTGGTGATTGAGGGGCGCCTGGAGGGAGATGAGATCAGCATCGTCATGATAGGCGATGGTTGTTCTATAGAAACCTTTCCTCCAGCACAGGACCACCAGCGCGTATTCGATGGGAACGTTGGGCCAAACACCGGAGGGATGGGGTGCCATGCGCCTACAGTCCTCTGTTCTGATGCTAACATGCACTTGATCAACGAAGAAATTCTTCAGCCAACCATCGATGGTATGTAAAAAGAAGGTATGTAAGGTCCTCTTAATGGCTCACGTAATCTTACATCTCTACTACTAGGCACCCCGTTCATTGAGATCATATGCATCGGCGTAATCCTGACCACTGAGGGACCCAAATTGATTGAATCCAATGTTCGCTTCGGAGACCCAGAAGCGTAGATTCTGCTTCCTTTACTCGACCAAAACATCGACCTTGTCGAGGTACTGCTCGCCTGCCTGGAGCGGAAGTTGGATAGGATACCTTTCACCTTTAAGAACATGTTTGCTGCAAACGTCGTGCTCGTATTAAAGGGATACCCCACCGCACCCGAAACAGGAAAGAATATACCCATGGAAGAGATGCCAGAATGTAAGTGAACGTTACATTACAGTAATGCTTCTCTGACTTATTATTGTAGGAACACTTATATTCCATACAGGAACCAAATACGACGAAAGCAAAGAGCTAATAACTTCAGGCGGCCGAGTCTTCGCCGCTTGCGTATTCTGTAGCACTCTCAGCAAATCTATGTCTACAGCGTATGAAGCGGCGAATTCTGTACAGTTTGAAGGCATGCATTCGCGTAAAGACATCGCTCAAAAGTATGTATGAACATTTACGAGAAATAAAAGAGATTCCCCAATGCTCCCAGTTGACGAAATGTGTGGTTTTCGTGCTAAAAGCATACAGCACTCTAGAAATACTCTACCGGAAAAGATGCCCTGATCCAACCTTCAGGTTGATATAAATTTGGCCCTGCAAGTATTCAGCTTTGGCTCACACCCAGCGACGGGTCGGTACATACCTATGAGCAATATCCTTTCGGAAATGTTTGCCATCGAAACTAATCTCCTGGACGGCTGCATATGCCGTGTCGAGGGCTTCTTGGAGACTGTCGCCGAGAGCTTGAACGGCCATGACTCGGCCACCAGCGGTGTAAAGGGACCCATCAATTTCCCTCGTGCCCGCGTGAAAGAGAGTGGCTTCCTCCCTTGAAACTACGGGAGCGCCACAATTAGCATATATGTATTTGAAAAGAGCTCCAAGGTCGGTCCTACCGTGTCCTCCCTCTTTGATTGTGATGAGCTTATTTGTCTGGTAGGTTCCGGGATAACCGTTGGAGGCGAGAATGACGGCTACAGAATACCCAGAGCGGACAGAGACCCTAGCGGACGAAAGATTGCCCTGAGTGCATGCAAGCATCACCTGGGCCAGGTCCGTATCACTGTCAAGCAACGGCAGCAAAGCCTGGGTCTCGGGATCACCGAAACGGGCGTTGTACTCCAGAACCCTTGGACCAGAGTCGGTGATCATGAAACCAGTGAACAGACATCCGATGAAGGGTTCAGCTGAGTCAGAGATCAGTACGATACCAATAAGGAGCAGGCCAAGGGCGTTTTGTTTACCTTCCTCACTCAAGCCGCGGAAAGTCGGCGCAAGAACAGTGTCATCAATGTCGGCTAGAAGTTTCGCATCAGTAACATCGACGGGCGCGTAGCAGCCCATTCCTCCAGTATTGGGACCTTTGTCACCGTCGAAGATGCTTTTGTGGTCCTGAGCAGGTGGGAGCGACTTGAAATTTTGCCCGTCGCAAAAGGTCAAGATGCTGATTTCGTAGCCTCTCAACAATTCCTCGACGACAACTCCGTCGCCAGAGTCACCGAGTGACTTCTGGACCATGATTTCCGCAAGCGCTTCAAGTGCTTCGGCAGTATTTTCTGGGATGATGACGCCTTTTCCTGCTGCAAGACCCGATGCCTTGATGACGACGTCGTAGTCGATAGACCGGACATGCTCACAGGCCAGGTGAGAAAGTCTTGTACCTGGCGGTCGGAATGCCGTGGCGCTGCATGAAGCCTTTTGCAAAAGCCTTAGACCCCTCAATTTGAGCGGTAGCCTTGCAAGGCGCGAAGCACGGGATGTGGGCTATGGGAATGAGTCAGCAGTGTCGTGGTCTCACTAGGTACGCAGGAAGTCACTGACCGGCGCGGAAGTAGCCTTCAATGCCGTCGACGATAGGAACATCTGGACCAGGGACCACGAGACCAACGCCTTCTGTCTGGGCCAGCGCGACAAGTTTGCTGTAGTTGTCGGGCGCAATGTCGTCAATGTTCACGACCTTGGGCGACGCGATGGCGGTACCTCCATTGCCGGGGACAACGAAAACTTTTTCGACCGAGTGACATTGTGCAAGCCTCCAGGCGATGGCATGCTCGCGGCCACCGTTGCCCACAAGGAGGATTCGCAGACGCTGTTGGCTGGCCATGGCGGAGCAGTAAAAGAAAAGGTGAGCCGCTAGGTTAGTGTCAGAGTGAGCGGAACGCAGGCTTGGAGAATGAAGCTCTGGTCACTGTGCGGCGTCGGCTGCACCTGCTCGGGTAGCAAGCGCCAAAGATTTCGCGGGGCCCCAACGGGCGACTATCTCCTGATGCGTCCTAGCCCGGCGTGATCCGACGGCACCTTACCTTGCAGTTAGTTACACTACTAATTAACACGCCGCTTCTTCATTTATTACAGCTATATAAGCACTGTTGGATAGCCTCATAAATGAAGCAAGGATCATGCATGAGCTTCGTGGTTCCACAGCTCGCCACCCTTTTCTTGGATGCGCTTGTGATTGCAACCCAATTGATGGTAACAGAGCCTATTGCATTCAGTATAACCTTCTTGTCCATCACTGTCGCCTGGTGGTAACCCTGCGGTTCTGAGGTTGAGCACACGAGGGGCATGACAGCGATCTCGGTAAGCGCCGATAACCAAAGACAGATAATATCCACCTTGGGTAGAGGACACAACTGCGTGGCTGTTAGGAAGGTAAAAAGAAATTTGAAAAAGCTGAGAAAGTATGGGTGCCATTCCGCCTTCGGCAGGCCGCAGAGCAGGTGCGATTGCGAGCTGGGATCTGCCACAGAGCCTTCGAGAGACTGGAAACGCCATTTCTTGTTTAGAGATTAACATCAGCCTCACGTAGGGGCCACAGTTTATATTTGTTCCTCCATACAACCCTCAAGAAATCTGAAAAGTTGAGAAAGAACAAAAGGCTATTCCGCTTTCAGCAGGCAGCCACTCGGTGCGCATGCCGACTCGACAGCCGGCCGTTACACAGCCCAACTCTCGCAAGCGAATAGTGCGGGCAATTTGCCACAGAGTCGGGAACGCCAACCGGCGCTCGCACTCAACTGTGGCCCCTGCCAGCTCCGTCGTCTCGCCTCGACCTACTGTGTATATGATGGCAGGCCGTTAGGCTGCAAGCATGGGGTGGAGGTTCCCGCTATCCTGCTTCTCAATTCTGTTCAAGTTCGAAGGCGTGCTGTGCTCAGCTGGACGGAGGATGGAACTTTCTGGGATAGCGTCGGTGAGCTCCAAAAGAGCTTTCGCCCTGCAGGAAACTTTCCTCGGGACGCCTGCCGTGTTCCATGCCATCCGCGGAGACTATCAGCAAGGAGTTCTGCCTCATCGCCACACTTCCCGGCCCCCCCTTCGCGAAAACGCCGGAGCTAAAGTCAAACTGCATTTGATGACGATTTCAACTTCGAGCAGCGTTGAAACTCGCCCTCACCCCTGTAACGTCATGAACGATTCCGCCGCCATGAACATGAACAACGACGCGCTTTACGGTGAGAGCCTGCGCTTCGTCCTTAACCAGCACTTTGGTCGAGACTTACGCTGATGCCCTCGGAGCCAGTTCGCATGTGCTAATACCCACAGCCTTTCGGCATCGACCCGATTTCCTACGAGCCCGACCAGGCTGGATTTGGCGCCCTTTGCTTCCCCGATCTTGACTGTGTGCTGATTAATAAGGTTTTTTTGTGATCGTTCGGGGTCCAGCAGGTGTTCATTCGATCGGGATGCGGAGTGCGCTGGGCAGTGGGCTGAGGAGTGTTGTTATGATGTTTCCAAAGTAGATGTCCTGCCCACGGACCACCAACTCTTCCTTACATCTCGCTCAGATCGAACCTCCTCCTCCTTTTCTTCTGATGGTAGTGATGGATGATCGATTAGTCGCTATGGTGGGTTTGGACGATATGCGTCTAAAGCAAACTACACTAAGCCTAATCGGGCATCGAACATGTTGTAGCAAACGCAGCCGGCACGATCCTCATCTTCTTCAAACGCCCTCTGAGTGACCTTCCGGGCTCTCTTTGCCATTCCTCGGAACCCCAGCCGCTTTTCATCCTTCCTCATCTTCCCCTTCTCCCTTCCAGCAGCTCACTCACTTCCGTCCTCGCCCAAGGATCCCGATCTGGGTCCCTGACATGGCTCCTTCCGAGGACTTCGCGGAGCAGAAAGATGCTCCATCCACCGTTCCCGCTCCTAGATCCCGTCTCAATTCCGTTGGCCATCGTCGATCCAAGCAGGCTCCTTCTACGGCGTCCCTGCTTCAGAAGCCTCGGAACATTTCGGCTCTCAACTCCAATCTTGAGGCCATACGTGAGCGTTACCGTCGCCTTCTACCCGAAAATTCCGCCATCTTCACCGAAGGTTCCGTGCCAGGACCGTTTGGTTACTTTGTTCCCAAGAAGCCTCTAGCTCAGGTCTTGAGTAAGTTCCTCGGTGCTTCTCTTCGGTCGGTCTTTCAAACGAGTGACTGACTTATCCGGATCTTTTCACAGCTCCCGAGTCCGCCTTCTCTCAAGAGCAAGGAGCTGAAGATATCAAGGCCGTTCAACAGACTGCTGCGGAAGACGAAGATTCCGACGTCAAAGAAGACGAAGATGATGGTATTCTTTCTCCTTCGCCTCTTCTGTTTTTTCCGGCGCTAGCGGCAAACCTCCCTCTGCCAATCTCTTACTTCCTCTGCTAACCTCATGTCTTCCACGTCAGGCCCTGCGGAGGTCTTTCCTGTTCCCTCAAACCACGATCTCTCCAAGCCCTCTCCTCCCGCGGACGACCCTCCCGTTGTCGCCAACACGTCTTCTGGCCGGAAGAAGCGCGACGCCAGCTCCCTTCTTCCGACGCCTCACAAGCGTGGTCGGGCGGACATGGACATGACCTTGGGTTCCGCGGCTGAGCATGTGCCCCGCGGCTTCGCGCGTCCCATGGAGGACATTCTGGCCAGTACTTACGGCCTGTCGGGTTATTCCTCGGCTTCCGCTCAAGAAGTTACTTCCACTCGTCCCGCGCTGCTCCCGTCGGCGACAGCTTCTGAAGTCCCGGACCTTCAGCAGTCCGCCGAGCTTTCCCGCCGCTTGTCCGCCGTCGAAGCCATCTCCCGCACGTTCCAAGGCCGTCTCGATGGCTTCGAGTCTCAGCTAGACGCCGCCGGCCTTACTACTACTAACCAGCAGCAGGTGCTCCTCGGAAGGATTGCCGCTGTTGAAGACGACAGCAGAAGCCTCCAGGCTTCCCTGGCTCGTGCCCAGCAGGACAACGAGCTCCTCCGGGCTTCTGTTCGAGAGTTGCGGGAGGAGCAACGTTTCACCAATCGTAACCTCGATCAACTCGAGCAGGCTCTCCGTAACCGCGGATACCGCCGTCGTGCATAGCTTTCCTGAATGCTTGCATTTTCCCTAGGGGCTTCCTCTCTCTTCCCCATGCCTGATCCAGCGGGCGCCGTCGGGGTGCTATTTTCTTTCGTGATTTCTGAGTCTGTCTCCGGACATTCTCTTTTCCAGCTTACTTCCGGGCAGGATCTCCTTCGGGAATCCCTAAGTCCCTGCTATTTTCTTTTAGTTTCTAAGGTAGCAATACGATTTCTTTCGTTAAGGACGTGCGTCACACTGAGCAAGCAGTGCTTCCATAGTATTCAGCTTCACGGGGTCAAGCGTAGTCCTGGTCTTTTGAACAAACAGATGGAACCAGCGGAATTGCGTTTGGCCCGGTACCTGGCCTCTTCTGCAGTATCTACCACGTTCCGGTACTCTGCAGCACTTCCGTCGTACACTGCATCCTTTCATGAAGTTCGCTGCATGTGGCCGCAGAGCTGTGGAAACAGTCGCAGGATTTGAGATTGGTTTGGCTCAATGCAGTCCCGGGGTTTTCGCCTTCCAGAGCAACCATTGGAAGATGGGAGTTGCATCTAGGTAGTCCGCTCTTTGTCGTGCTGCTGCGTACGGACAAGTGACTATCGGCAAACACGCCGTCTGCTCGGTGGAAACTTCCAACACATTTCACTGTCTGCCGCGCTGGCGGTTACACGTGCTATATACAGGCGTGTACTTTGATATTGTGTACTGAAGTGCTAAAAGGAGCGGCCACGTTGTGTTCGGTTCCATGTCGCACTGGTCAGTGAAAAATTCATCTTTAGTCCAGGCATGCCTTGCATGCGAGCTCGTTTAGCGTGGTGCGTCACCTCCTGAGATGATCAGAGTATCCTTTCTTTCAACTTGTTTAGAATTAAAGACAAAGTCAAAGAGATGGCCATGCAAACACGTGTCGGCGTATGAACTGTCTTCATCCATCTCAGGTATGGCCAAGACAAGGCTGAAGGTATTGTCAGCCTGCCGGCGCAGCGAGGCAAACAGCTCATTGTTTCCGTGATGGCTGGCGCGACAGCAGCTTTCGGATGGGCGTCAGCGCTGCGCAGTGTGACGAGAGACAATTAAGCCAAGGCAAACAAGAGAAACAAGTCGGCCAGATATGGTGTTCCTGGACGTCACAGGGTTCGCGCTTGCTCGGTTTGCCTGGCTTGCACGTTTGTTCCCAATTATTCTCTCCCGATCAGGCTTAGCTTAACCCATTTGGCAGTGGTATATCACCACCGCTCGCCGCGTCTCATCCTTTCGCAATCCTCAGCTTGCTTCCAACATGTGTTAATAGCCCACCGCCCTCATGATTTCCAAGATGTGTTAGCATCGCACCACCGGCCGTTCAGGCTGCCCGTCCCGTGCTGGGTAGCGATGCTAACACATCTGTTGGAAATCTTGAGGGCCTGTCTGCGCCCACCGGGGTCGGCAGTTAACACCCTTCCTCGATTCACTTCCCCCTAACACAAAGTTTTATATATCACCATGCCAACTGTTGAACAGAACGACTCCTCTGCTCTAAAACAATCACCGAGTCACCATGTATATCAGGACCACCAGACTGTGCTCCTTCTCCTCGATCCCGACATCCACGACATCCACAACCGCGCCCTCCACTCCCCACAGCTCCTCCACAACCCCCACATCTCAACCAACACTCCTCCATCCCCTCCATATACACCACAAGAGCAGCACCAATGTCGGCTCCCTTCCAAGACACCGAGCCCCGCCAATGCTACGGAATCTGCAGCGACGGGCAGCGGTGCCGCAACTCCATCAACGGCCGCGCGTGGAGGGTCGACAATGTGCGCTTCTGCATCCACCACGCGTACCAGGCCGAGGATCCGCTCGCCAGAACCCAGGCGGAGAACCGGCGCCTCCGCGCCGCCAACGGCAACCTGCAGGCCAGGGTCGCCGCCGTCCGCCAAAGCCGTGCCGACGCCCGGGCCGAGAACCGACGGCTCCAGGCGAGCAACGAACAGCTCGTCGCGGAGAGGGAACGGCTGGGCCGGGAGAACGGGCAGCTCGCCGGAGCCATGAGGGAGCAGGTCCAGCAGCTGACGACGGCCAACGCCGTCGACCTACAGGCCAGGGTCGCCGCCGCAGACGACGAGCTCCGCCAAAGTCAAGCCGACGACGTCCAGGACCAGCTCGCCAGAGCCGCGGCGGAGGCCCAGCAGCTCACGGCCGCCAACGACAGCCTCGGCGAGGAAAAGCGACGCCTCCTCGCCCGCATCACCGCTTCCGAGAACAACACGGCGCGGGTGCGTGGCGAGCTCGACGAGCAGACCAAGGCAAGAGCAGAGCTCGAAGCGGGGAACGAAGAGCTCCGGAGAAGGCTTGCCCAGGCCGACCGGGAGAGCGAAGTATCGCGCGCAGAGAACAAGGAGCTGCGCGACGCGGTGGCTCGGGCGGAGAAGGCTGCGGCGGAAGAGGCTGCGGCGGAAGAGGCTCGCCGGGAGGCCGTCGCCCAGGCCGCCGGCAAGCTCGAAGATGCCGAGGGCGAGCTGGCGGATTCGCGCAGGACCAACGCCACGCTCAGCGCCCAGGTGTGCGGCTTGCAGAGCCGTGTCGGAGCCCTGGAGGCAGAAGCGAGCCGGGCCAGCGCCGAGAGGGAGCGGATTGCTACTCAGCTTAGCGACACCGAGGGCGACCTCAAGGATGCTCGTAAGGAGAAAGCTGTCATCCTCACCAACCAGGACAACGCCGAGGCCCTGCTCAGGCAAGCCAAGGCCTCCCTCCGCCAGGCCAGCGCCGACAACGAGCGCCTGACCACCCAGATCCGCGACACCGAGGCCCAGCTCAAGAAGGCTCGCGAGCATAATGCCACCCTCACCGCAGAGCTCAAGGACAGCCAGGACAGCGGCGAGGCTCTGGAGGCCGACGTGAGCCGCCTAACCACCCAGCTGCGCGCCACCGAGGCCGACCTCAAGGACGCTCGCGCGCGCGACACGACTACGGCCGTGTCGCTCGAGCAGGCACAGGCCAGAGTCAAAGTCCTGGACGCGGAGGTCAACCGCCTGACCGCCCAGCAGAGCAGCGCCGAAGCCGAGCTGCGCAGCGCCCGCGAGCGCCACGCCGCGCTCACCGCCGAGCTCGAGGACAGCCAGGACAGCGGCGAGGCCCTGGAGGCCGACGTGAGCCGCCTGACGACCCGGCTTCGTGAGATGGAGGTCGAGCTCAAGAACACGCGCGAGCACGACGCGACCACGGCCGCGTCGCTCGAGCGCGCGCAGGCAAGGGTCGAAGCCCTTGACGCAGACGTCAGCCGGGCTAGCGCCGACAACGACCGCCTCACCGCTCGGCTTCGCAGCACCGAGGGCGACCTCAGGGCCGCAGGTGAGAAGAACGCAACCCTCGCCGTCGACCGGGACGAGATCAAGGCGCAGCTCAGCCAAGCCCACGCCAACATCGACCGCCTCACCGCCCAGCTCAGCGCCACCGAGAGCAACCTCCGGGCCGCTGGCGAGAAGAACGCAGCCCTCGCCGTGGAGAAGGACAACATCAAGACCCAGCTCAGCCAAGCCAACGCCGACAAGGACCGTCTCACGACTCAGCTTCGCAGCACCGAGGCCGACCTCGCCGACGCCCAGGGCCGCATCGACGCCCTCGAGGAAGAAGCCAACCGCCTCACCGTGCGGCTCAGCGACGCCGACGCCGTCGCCGCGACCCAGGTCCGCATCCTGTCCGAAGACGCCGCCGCCGCCGCTGCTGCCCTCGGCGGAGCCCGCGCCGCAGCCGTGAGTCTCGCTGCGACTAACCGCGACCTCAGATCTCGGCTTCTGCTCGTCTTCTATACGACGCGCATCAGCATGCTTCGCCGCCGCTCCGTCGCCGCGGCCGAGCGTGTTGCTGCCGAACGTGCTGTTGTTGCCGAGCGCGCTGCCGCCGATGAGGAGAGCCGGGCCGCCGCCGCTCGCGCGACTTTCGCGTTGGTGGTAGCGGGCGTGATGTACTTGATGAGGCGGCGCGGATGAGGGAGCTTCAGGGGTGAATGGTTGCGAGCGTTGACTTTCCTCTCCTTAGCACTAGAATAGATATCAATCAGTCTCAATGCTCATCTTGCACAAATGTGACATGTGGAACCTCAAAGCTAACAGGCTGTCGAGATTGTGTGAGCAGACAGATGGACGACATTTACTAACGGCACCGCCAGACCCATTGCGAAGCCATCCTTCCTGCCACAGCGCCCCATCTTGGCCATTTCTACCACCCCCCCCCCCCCCCCCCCCCCCCCCCCCCCCCCCAAACCTTGAAGCCGGGATGGTGGATTATCCCATGTGCATTTAGCTCAAACGCACGTTAAGCTCGCACATGACTCCGAGCCCTGAATTTGCAACTCCAGTCAGTTCCACATCCTCACACCAAGCATTACCTGTCCATCAACCAGACCACTTATCCTACCCCTCCGCACCCGGCCCATTGCCGTGTCCTTCGAAACCAAACCCCCACGAGAGCTCGGAAAAGGTGCAGCCAGCCATCTACACTGCCGAATATCTGCCCCGTCGTTCTTATTCCCGGCGTCCGCTGGCATGTCTACTGCGTGCGGCAATGAAATTGAGATCGCAGGCAGCCAGACGATCGGAGATGCAAAGTCAGCGCTCGGAATTTGTGAGAGCTAATCCGGTGCCTGCGGCATCTCGCCGGCTGGGCTGATGGCGGCTTTAGGCAGTGGTGGCAAAGGATTCTGACGGCAAAGATAAGTCGAAACGGATTGAAGGGAGACTACCAAGAATATTATCCCCGTGCGTTGCATTCATTCTCCTTGATAAGATCATGATAATACGAGCCACAATGATCACCGTAGCCAAGGGAAAACAAATCATCTTTCTCCCTCCCAAGCATGTGACAATAAGGCTCGAAATTAATCCACGTTTGGACGAGTTAGTAGGAAGCAGGCACTCGGCCATTGTTCTGAGCTCCTCTCACCCGCGTCGACTACACATCATCTTTGTTCAAGCATACGAGTAATGTTTTACTACGTGGTCTCACTAGAGATTAACACGGAACATAGTACTGACCGACCATAGCTATTCACATTCCATTCGAGTAGATACCACGCGCATCAACGATGCTCATGTTGCTAGCTTCCAGCCCCCTTTCTCAACAAGTAGGATAATCAACCACGCAGAGAACCTGCCAGAGCGCTGGACACGCACGACCGGACAAGTACGGACAGTCCAGTAGTTGTGGCCGTAGAGCTCGCCTACTACGTAGAAAGGCGGAGACGTTTCTTCCTTACGTCATCGTATAACTTGCTCTCAACAATCAGCTCACACGCCATGCTTCCCACCGCGGCGACCCAAATGTCTCTAGTGAAAGCGTAATTTAGCATAATGGCTCCGCTAATTAAGAGGATCAGACAAACATACCCGCTTATCCCTCCAATCGTAGATGATGCTGCGCGGTTGGCGGCGACGAACGGCGTCTAACCGGCCGGTAGCAGGCCCCGTGACAAACTATTACGAAACAATAGTCAGTGCAAGGAGCTCCTCTACGACATACAAACCAGGTGGACATACCTCCGTTAGAGTCGCAGTAGAAGATGACGTAGTCCACACCGCATTCGGGCATCCCATCGGGGCTGTAATGGTAAAAGCTTCGTCGGCCATGCTCTGCAAGGACTGCAGAGGCCGACAAGAGAGTGAGAACGAAGTTGACGAGATGGCGCATTTTACGAGCAGACAATCCAGAGTCGTATGTCTGAGAGATTGTGAGGAATGCGAAACGATGAAAGTGTGCGATGAGTAGCAGTAATATACTGCTGTTACGGAAGGTAATCAGAAGAGGATTCAGGAAGAATCAAGCCGTTGGCAAAACAAAGGTGGAAAACCCAAGCAAGCGAATGCAGGAAACAAGTGCAAGCCGATGCACCTGTAGTTAAAAAAGCGGTTAGCCTTATAGTAAAACATGCCGGCCGGTCTACTTGTTGTTGAAACAGTTTTACTTCCATGAATTTCTAGGCTAGAGGTGGTAGGTTTCGGAAGTGCGTGGAGTAAGTCAAACGACAAGCCACTGTTGAAAGAAGCTCTCTTCTTTTGCCACCGAGCATTGCCATAGTGCGTAAGACCGAGATTCAACTCGTATGCTCGCTCAGAACCTCGAATCTATTTCCGATGGTGTAACAAATCGTGAAAATGACGATGCTGGAAAAGCATTTCAGGGTATTTGATTGTGATTTGGTAAAGCTGGAAATAATTATTGGAGAGGCGGAGATGATGCTACTCGCCACAATTGCCGTCAAAGGGACGACCAACCTATGTCTGAACTGAAACTGGTGTATAATTCTCCATTAAGGATGCGTATCATCGGCGGGACATGTACACTCCTATTCGTCATACTATCTCCTCGGCCGAATTCATCCACCGCATGTCCAGTGATTACATTTTCAGGTTGAGCGTTTCCTGAACCGAGGGATGAATAATTCATCACACGTTTCTCAAAATCACAAAGCTACAATACAATACTAGTAGACGTGCCGGTAGAATACAATCGGCTGAAGAGAAAAAAGCCAGATTGAAATCAGATGCACCCGAAAAGGTCATTCACTCAGCCTTTCCAGTCATCTCAAGGGGGTTTCCCCATTCTGGAGCCCAGCCGTACGGGTATGCTTGCAAACACCGATTGTCCCGCCAATACACTCCATGCTCGTACCAACAGTCAAGATATTGACCGACTGGTTGTTCTTCGTCTTCGCTGCTGCGTCCGTTGGCGTGCTTCCACGCTTCCCAAAAGGCCCTTTCGCGATCACTCGGCCCTTCCCACCTTCTGAAACCCATCTGGTCCTCACTCCAGTCCCGCCAATACCTCTCCATCGGCCTTCCCAGCTTTCGATAGTATTCGAAGAGATGCCATCTCGGGAACTCCGACCACGGTGGCCCGAACCTCTTGTAGAAATCATGCTCCAAGACGAAGCCGTCGTCCCCTCGGTCGTCGTCGTCCGACTCGCCTGAGACCTGGCCGCCGCCGCCGCCGCCGCCGCTGCCCGTGTATAAAGCATGATGAGCTGGCGGCGGTCCGCGACGTTCAGAATCCTTCTTCTTCCCCTCCTTGCGATAAGCGCGGTCCACCATCTTTCGCATCATGGCGATATTGTCGCGGATCTGCTGCGCGTCGTCCTCCTCCTGCAAGGCGAGCCACGGGGTTCTCGGGAAGTGGACCGCGTCGAAGCTGGGGGTCGGCTGGGCGGCGGTTATGGTGGCCGTGGTCGGGGCCGTGGTCGTGCCCGTGACCGTGACTCTGATAATGCGGCGGATCCGCTGTACGATGATGTGCTGGATGGCGCGCAAAGGGTTTATCACGAAGAGGACCGCATCGAAGATGCCGGTCGGCTGGGCGGTTATAGTAGCTGTGGTGGTGCCGGCGGTGGTCGTGACGGTGCTGGTGGCCTTGACGGTAGTGGTGGTCGTATAGGGGTAAGTAACAGCAGTGCTGATGAAGGTGCGGGTCTCGGTAGTAGTGGCTGTAGCGTAGGCTGTGGTAGTGAGGGTGTTCGTCTTGGTAGTGGTGGTTGCATAACGAACAGCTGTGCTGGTGTAGGTCAGCGTCTCGTTAGCGGTGGCTGGAGCGAAAGTAATAACTATGGCGGTAACGTAAGTGGTAGACTCGACGGTTTTGGTGGTCGTGGCGGTAGTGGGGATGGTGACCTTGGCAGTAGTGGTGGCCAAGAAGTCGGTGTTGGTGGTCGTGGTGATGGCCGGTGGGTGGTGCGATGCACACATCCAGGACAGTCTTCCGCGTGGATCGCGTATCTCTGTGACGAGGAAGAGGATAGCCCACGTGATGAGCACGAGGACAATGTGCCATACGATGATGGTAACGGTGTTGGCGGGCGGGGCGGTTGGGTCATGGCGGGCATCAGACGTCGACATTTCATTCAGATCGGAGATCTCCGTCACCATAGAGCTGCTGGAGTGCCTACGAGAGATAGGACTCTGGCTGGCGGGACTTGTCCTGCCACTCAAGGCGACATTGTCGATGTTGATCGGCGGTCTGAAGCTTGTTCCCCGTCTGGTGCGCCCAGCATCCAGTTCAGCTTCGAGGGACGACATGGCACGATGTATACGAAGTCTAATGCCGGAATGCTAGATTTGAACAAGGGATGGAAGAGGAGTGGTGGGAAATTTTTCACTTTGGTTTTGCGGACAAAATGAGAAGCCTTTATCCCCATGCGTCGGCATCAACAGCAACAAACGCGCTCCGGTCCGTGCTATGACACGCACTCCAATAGGTGAGACAGACGCTGCAGCAGGCAAACAGAAGCAGCAGGCACGCGAGAGGTCTTCGCGGCCGGTGTTGTGTCCCGGCTGGACCACCAGAAACATGTGGCTGCCCGATTTCATTGTCAGCGGCAAGAACCCACCATGCACGGCTCCGGACCACGGAAAGGTGCGGACTTCATTTGTCGGGTGCAGCTTCATCTCCGGCATACGGTCAGTGAAAGGTGAGCCTGCTGCAACAGCAAACGCCACCGAATTGATCCACCAGCACGTCCAGCACTTAAATTTTCAAGTTTACCGTTTTCTGAATTGAGGGATGGATTTCTTACTCACTCAATTACAATACTAGTGGATGAAGTCGGCCGAGGAGATACAATCAAAAATCAGAGCCGAGTTATGAGGTATTCAATAAAACTCTGCAGCCTCAACAAGAAAGACTTCATTGGCCCAGGCGGCATTTCCCATTCTGGAGCCCAGCCGTACGGGTATGCTTGTTTGAGTCGACTATTCTGCCAATATATCCCATGCTGGTACCAATAGTGGAAATACTGACCTGGTGGTTGTTCTTTCTCCCTGCATTTATTGACGCGCTTCCAAACTCTCCAGAAGGCCTTTTCGCGTTTACTCGGTCCTTCGAGCTCTCTTGAACGCACCTGTTCCAAATTCCATTGCAACCAAACCTCCCCTACCGGCTCTCCGATGATCCGGTTATATCTGTAGTCTCGCCACCTCTGGTCACTCGACCACGGCGGCCCGAACATCCTGTAGAAATCAAGGTCCAAGTCGTCGTCACCATCCTCTCCGTCGTCCGACCCCCCGCCGCCGCCGCCGCCGCTCGTGTCAGCCGACGATCCGGCCTTGGGGTCGTCGGGCCGTTTCTCGCCCTTGCAATCCGCCTCGGCAAACTCCTTGCCCTTGTTGATGTGCTGCGAGACGGCGGTCAGCTGGTCGGGGGTCAGGTGGAGCGGGTGGATGGCCGCCTTGTCCGGGTGCCAGTGGCGCGCGAAGCGCTTGACGGCGCGGCCGACGGCCTTGAGGCAGGCGTCGCGCTCGTCGGCCGGGGGCGGCTTCTTGGACGGGGCCGTGGCGTTGAAGGCGCGCAGCGGGTCCGTCGCCAGGTAGACCCAGTCGAAGTCGGCCGGGCGGTTCGGGCAGACGATCTCGGCGCCGTCGGTGCCGAACATGGGCGTTGCGGTCGGCGTGGCGGTCGTGGTGGTTGTGGTCGTGGTCGTCACGGTCGTGGTGCCGGCGGCGGTTGTGGTCCGCAGTTTGACCGTCTTCGTGGCCTTGAATGTGGTGACGGTGGCCGAGACGGTCGTCGTGGCTATGGCCGTGGTCGTGGCCAGGAATTCGGTCGTCGTCGTCGTGGCAGCGGCGGCCGGGCACGTCACGGCCGGCGGGAGGTGGCGCGATGCACACATCCAGAACAGTCTTCCGCGCGGATCGCGTATCTCTGTAACGAGGGAGAGGAGAAACCACACGATGAGCACGAGGACAACGCGCCGTGCGATGTTGGCGGTCGGGATATACGAGGTATTGGACGTCGAGGTTTCATTTAAATTGGGGTGGATGCTAGAGACAGGACTCGAGGCGATATTGATCGGCCGTCTGAAGCTTGTTCCCCGTCTGGTGCGCCCAGCACCCTGTTCAGCTTCGAAGCGCGGCATGGGGCAATGTACACGAAGTCGAGTACTCGATGTAGCGGGATCCTTGAACAAGAGGAGTAGTTTTGTTAGTCACCGGACAAAGGGACATTTTTCCTACTGGCTTTGAGAACAAAAAGAAACTTTTATTCACATGCGCCGGTATCAGCGGGCTGACCAGTAACACAAAGCGGGACTGAACAAAGCAGGTCGGTGATCAGCAACAAACGCGCGCCCGCACCACGCAAAGCACGCCCATGAGGATCAACTCCAGCAACTGATTACTTGCAAGCCTCGGCGTTCAAATTCATTTGGAACAGCCTCTCGCTTTAAGCAAATTTTTACATATTGTTCTTAGGATTCAGCCAGCATTCCCGGCTGGACCACCAGGAACATGTAGTCGCCCGACGTCATCGTCAGCGGCAAGAACCCGCTCTGCATGGCCCCGAACCACCGACTTTGTTTTTCGGGTGCAGCATCAACTCCAGCGTGGGTGACTTCCAGGAGTGCATTCTCAGGCCGAGCTTCGCTACGTACATCATCCGACATCGAGAGCAGCTCTCAGCGTACCTTCAAGGTCAGCCTCTGCTTCGGCGCAGTTTCAAGCCGGTGAAAGACGAGCCTACTGCAAAAGCAAACGCCAGGCTTGGCGTCCCATGTCGACAGCCGGCCACGTCGCATGCCCACGCATGGCTACCTAGGCACAAAGAAATCATGCAGGAACTGTCGTCGACTTCTTCCAGCGCAAACACGCCGGGCAGCCGTTATTAACTCGCGGCACTCTGGCATCCGAGCCAACCCAACCATCTCCTTCATTATCCATCCCATCAGAAGTCATTGCAAGCCATCATGATCCAAGCACGTACCACGACCAACATCACCCAGGACGACGTCCCCATGTTGCTGGATCAGATGACGGATGCCGTTCGTCAGAGCGTCCTCCCCTTCCCCGGCGTGAGTGTCCCGGAGCTTCTCCAATGCCTCGTCGACCGCGGCATCTTGGCTTATCCCCCACCACCGGCGGCCGAGCAGCCTTACGACACAGAGAGTCTACTTGACCAGGCCAGTGATGTTTGGAATACGCTCGCCAGGTTGACCGTCGAGGGCGAGGGCAATGACACTAGATCCAAAGCCATGCGGGAGTCGGCAATCATCGCCAACGAGGAACTCCACCACCGCCTGGCAATCATCCAGGGGGCACTCAGGTTGATCCATCAGACCGAGCAAGCCGCCCCCGGCCCCGACCCAGGCCTTGAGAGCCGCCTCGGCCATCTGCGCAGCGGGAAGACTTGGACCATGCTGCGCCTGCGCCCCATGCAGCGCAAACTTCAGCAAAATCGCCTGGATTCCGACGAAACCGCCCTCAACATAGCCGCGTCCCGCCACGAACTGGACGTCTCGCGCGCTTCTAGAAAGCTCACCGAAGAGGAGACCTTCCGGATCAGGCAGGCCGTGAGGGCCATTGACGAGGCGGGCCTCGACGGCGCGAGGAGGGAGCTCAGTGCCACGACGCGCGTCTTTCGCGACTTCATTCAAGACACGGCCGACAACGCGCTCCGCGCCACTTCACGCATGCTCGAGTTGGAATCGGGCCTGGAGAACGACATCGAGGTCATGGAAGCCTCGCTCGACCAGACGAGGTCCGCTGCAAGGCACCTCGTGCATCAAATCGGCGAACCGCAAGCCAAGCTGGATGAGCTTGCGACCCTGCGCATTGTGGTTGCTCGCTTGGCTGACACGGCTCAGACTTAGCCTTGGGAAGCTTCGGTCCACATTTGTCCATGCACAATCCCAGCTCTGACAGGCGAAGCATGATTTACAAGGCTCATCAAGATTACGTTCCTACTATCGCTCTTCTTTTGTGTATCTCTGGCTTTTTGTCCTCTTCGAATTGGGTGTACTCGGAATGAGGCTGTATTTTCACGTCTTCAGCCCCTTGTTTACACCTACTTCTCCCTTATTTTCTTCGCTGGGGATTTCTTCTACAGATGGTTTCCCCCTTCACAGCTACTTTCCCCCTTTACGGTCGTTTTTCATTTTTACGGCTGGCATTCCCATTTACGGCTGTTGCTCGGACCCAAAGGCTGTCTGATTCTATTGTTAGACAGAGATACTTTTCACTTATCATGGCACTGCACGTAGGCATTACGAATTGATACATCACATGAAAATTCCGCGTCGCATTCTCCAGCATCAGAGAGAATCATTTTGATTACTGAAGTTAAGACATGGCTGTGACATTCAAACTCCCCCAATTAGATGGATGGGCAATTTTCTGGTCGAGAGTTTACATTTAAGATATGCTGAGGAGACGACAACCTCCAGTGCAGAACGTAGCAAAAGCGCACCATGTCTCGGAGATCCAAACCACACACACACATCGCACTCGCTTAGAGCGGTCAAACTAAGGGTCGTGCTGAGCGCTGCATGGTGCCACGCTCTGGCTGGCGGCGCGATGGAACGTTCAATGGTGTCTCCACTCCTTCTGTAGGGATAGACAGGGAGTGCATGAAAAGAGACGGGCAACCGCCCTTGGCGCGCGGGCGGCGGTGGGAGTGGGGCGTGAAAGTCTCTGGCATGCGACCGGCCGCGGGCGTTTGCAGTCTGGCCTGGTACCTGTGACGGGGCGGGGTTGCCTGCGCAGTTGTCTCCATGCAAACGTCCCGCTTTCCCGGGAAGCCACTGGCATGTTCAGGCTGCAGTTTCTAATCTGACTGGGAGCTTTTCTGCCTTTTTGCCGTACCTCGTGCGCCTACTTCGGCGGCCAAGTACGCCGCACGCCGCCGCCAGGAAGAGAAGCCAGTGGACGTCGCCTGAATCAGATCATCTCACTGCGGTTGTGTTTGAAATCTCGCACCATGGTGGCAAATTATACACTCACAATGCCGCGTGGTTTGTCCTTTGGTCATCGCAACTGGGCCCCCAACACAACCCACTGGCAATTATTCCCCCTCTGAGGAGCATTTCATGGCCTTTGAAACCCTCATCGAGCCATACCTCCCCAATGCAAATCTCATTGACGATTCGCACTACCACAACTCAAAGAGCGAGAGGGTGGGGAGCACTGCTGGAGGCGGTGGTGATGCTCTCGCGGCGCTAGTCGTGATTGAGAACATTGTTGGGGAACAGAATGATGCACTGCAGAAGTTTGCGGAGATATCGAGAGCAGCGACATGTATTTCTTCGGCTTTCTAAACTTCTGCAAATGAGGAAAGGTTTGGAATAGTCTGGTAAACATATTTGCCTCATTCTTGCTATTGGGCGGTGGTCGTGGGGAATGTAGAGGCTGGCCATTCAACCCTTGAGAAACATTTGCAACAAGCAGCCCTTTGGCGGGAGGTTAACGATTTAGAGATTGCTTATTCCGCTTGCCTATCTTATTCCTTTCTTACCAAGACGGCAATTATAATTCTTTATCTATCAGGTTTAGCTTGGCCTCTTTATTAGTACTATATATTACTCCTCGCTGTGTCTTCTCATTGACATCCCTTCGTATTCATTAATATACTTTCTATATATATCACTAGCGGCATTACCGGGTAGCCTTTATTACTACCGTCATAGTTTCTAATAGAGGTGTTACTAGTCTGTCTATTAGAGATAGGCTTCTATTCTACTAGACCTCATAACGAAACCTCACCCTAACACTCTTCCTCGGCCATCTAAATAACACCAAATCGTATATAACACCATTGTCTAGAAGATGACAGCTTCCCTGTTCAAAAACAATCACCGAGTCACCATGCATATCATCAGCACCGAGTTATGCCCCTTCTCCTCGACACCCACTCCAAATCCACTACGCACCGACAACTACGACACAAACCGACAACTCCAATGGCTCTCCCCCAATCCGCTTCCCAACAGGGCCACGGTTCCTCCGACTCCGAGGCTCCTCCTCCAAACCCCGGAGCACCGACGACGATCTTCGACGACGACGCCGACGACGACGAGAGACGCCAATGCAAGGGCATCTGCCGCACCGGCTCCCAGTGCAAAAACCACATCAAAGCGTACTCCTGGAGAGTCAAAGGCGTGCGCTTCTGCTACTACCACGAGTACCAGGCCGAGGATCCACTCGTCAGAGCCCTGGCGGCGAACCGACGCCTCAGCGCCCGGCTCGCCGCCGCCAGCCTCGGCAGCGAGGGCGAAAACCTCCACCAGAGCCGCGACGAAGAAGTCATCAAAGATCTGGAGGCCAAGCTCGCCGCGGCGAACCAGACCGTGGCGAATCTCCGCCAGAGCCGTGACGAGGAGGTCCGGGATCTGAGAGCTAGACTCGTGGCGGCGGATCAGGCCACGGGGGACCTCCGCGAGAGCCGCGACGAAGAAGTCAGAGATCTAAAAGCCAGACTCGCAGCAGCAGACCAGACTGCGGCGAACCTCCTCCGCCAGAGCCGCGACGAGGAGGCCACGGCTAACCGGAACCTTCTGGTCAGGGTCGCCGCCGCCGAGCGTACCGCGGTAAGTCTTCGCAGCGAGCGTGCTCGGCTCGAGCGGCGGCTCGAGGCTTCCGAGAGGGAGAAGGCGGAACTGGCGAGGAAGAACGCGGAGTTGGCGAGGAAGAACGTGGAGGGCGATAGGACGACGAGGGAAGCGCTGGAGGTAGAGGCTAGCGAGCTTCTTCGTGGCGAGCAGCAGGAGAGCTCTGCCCGCGCGCTTCAGGAGGCCGCCGAGGGGGCTGGTAAGACGGAGAAGAAGAAGACGCCCAGCGCCGTCGCCGAGAGGCTTAAGAGCAAGCTGAGAGTGATGTGGCGCGGAGCTTGAGGACAACGTCAAGGCCCTGGAGGCAGAAGTCGACCGCCTAACCACGTCTCGCTTGAGCGGCGCCGAGGGGGAGCTGAGGAGCACTCGCCGGCGGAACATGACGATGCCGGCCGAGTTCAATGACACTCGGGACAGCGCCGATGCCTTGGAGGTCGGTTCCAGCTGAATGGCCATGCAAGGCACTTGTCAATTTGTCTGCAGTCCTTAGTATTAGCATAGTGTTTAAAAATGCTTCTGCTTATTACTTACCCATAAGCTGTATCAACGTGAATCGTATGGAGAAGCGCTGGCCTCGTGATAATGTCTCTCGCGCCGTAGTACTTGGCGCGCATAAAGGATTCACAGCTATATTCACGGGAGTACATGCAGCGTAAGCCGCTTTCGCTAAAGGGCCCGTGTCATAGCAGAACAAGCTTAGGCTTTTTCAAGCAGAATTGTACCTACTCTGCCTTTTCCACGCCCACAGCTTTTCGACACCAGCAGCTCTCCGACGCTCGTTAACAAAGAATCTTCCGTGAATTTCAAGAAGGAATCATGGTTATTACAAGAGTCGGGATGGATCCGAGCGTAGGTCTGTCGGAAATCGTAAGCATGACGGCATATGGTAGATTCGGCGGCCTTGACATGTAAGGGCCGTGCGTATATTTACGTCTGTTATACAGGAGCGAATACCAGCTGAACAAGCCATGGTTAACCAAATAACGCACGCTCTCCTTAATCGGACTCATGTAGATTTCTTTCATGCGAGCAGACTCTATGTCCCGGTCCTGCGATGATTTCCAGGCGTGCAGGCGGCCATCAGCCAGAGGGTGTTGCAAGAATGCATGCCGGCGGAGAAACAAGTCTAATAATCCGTAAAAACGCGAATTACAACAGAACTTGGGCTAAAACTTAGCTTCAAAACTTGTAGAAGTATAGAAGTTTTATTTAGTGGAGTTCTTATTGATTATTAATAATTTCATCATGAGGAATTCCGGTGTAAGTTAGGACGAAGTTCAATTTTAAATGACAAAAGCGCCGAAATGATTCGATTTTACCTCTCCAATTTGCACTTAAATACATTTACGTAAGACGTTGAATAATTAATATTTTGATATATTTTACATTCAATAAGCAATTCTTTACAGGTAATTCAAGTTGCAGCGCAATAAAACTAAGTTTTTGTTGTTGAAAACGTGAAGTGAGTAAGTTTGGTGTAAATTCGGCCACCGACGGCTATTGTCAATCTAAGCAGGTCGGAGAGCACCATGCAAAGTCTTGAGGGTCAATAGCATGGTGATGCATCATGCGCATTCGTTCGCTGTCTTCGCAAAGGGCCATGATTCCGATGAAGATGAAGACAACGAGGTGTGGTGGCGCTCCTCCCGCTTGCTTTGATGCAAAGGTGGCGGGGACAAGAGTCTAGGCGCCAGGAGCCGGGAAGATGGAACGGTGTGACGGGAGGATGAGACGGGAGTAGCCGATCGTCGCATCACGTGTACTCTTCAGTTTGTGTACACAATCATCAGCCTTCCCAGGCGCCTACGAGTTGCGCTTGGTGTGTGCCCCTCCGCATTTTCCCCCTGCTGCATCGTGCACAAAGCACCGGTGCAAATGTCGCCTGTGACCTTCGATTGGCTTCCTGAAACAAGGCATCCGTGACTTTGGAGGTTTGCTTCCGTAGGCGCGCCAGACTTTCCATATTTTGTTTGCATCACTGCTTGATGTCCACCCGCTTGCCTTCAAACGGAACGTGCGGCGCACGTGGAAGCGCGAAAACGGCCACCGTCTGTGGGGCAGAGATCAGCGCAAAACGTCCGGCCCGGGGCCCCGTCCAGGGCTCCCACTTGGCAAGACAAGACAAGACAAGCCGGGGGTACCCCCCGTCTTGAACAAGACAAGGCGCCGCCCGCAGGCATCTTGAACAATACGGTTTTCTCTTGGCTTGTCTTGGTATCTTTGCAAGACGTCTTGCCAAGTGGGAGCCCTGGCCCCGTCCTCCCGCGACGAATGCCTTTACGCCTGCTCGGCTGCGAAGACCCATGTTTCCTTCTCCCAAACAATGAATAATAAAACACGGCGGCTGCTGCAGCGCTAATCCTCAGGATGTAAAGAATGTAAGGCTAATGTTCTTTTTCCCGCAGTTCAACACTTCCACGGCCACAAGTGCTCAATTCTACACGTTTCTGACATGCTTTTACGAAGTCTGCAGGCGTTACCGTCTGTCTGGATCAGTCCCTCGATACACCCCATTGTTGTCGCCATGATCCGTCATGCTCTTCGTCCCGAACGCTTGCTCCAACTTCGTTAACTAAGCCAACCTCGCGCAGGTGCCTGTTCGTCTTGGCTCCTTAACACGGAAGACAAAGCTGGTGGAACTGTGGAGGGAGCAAACCCCGAGCGGCAGAATTCATTGGCGATGCATAAACTCCAGGAAAACGCGGTCGGCCGGTGCACACCGTCTGCATCCACCATTGAGGCACTGCTCAAGCACGAGCCGCGCAGCCAGAACCCCACGGACGACCGGTCTTGGAAGCCGACACCTTCTGCGCTTCGAGAAACGGGGAAAAGTCGCATCTGACGATAAACGAGCCCGACGCACCGTCAACTGGGCCTCTAGAATCGTGTCTGCAGCCCACGTTTGGTGATTTTGGGGACCAGACCGTCATCGACGAAAAAATCTCGAGCATTTCGCCGCATCATTCGTTGAACCTGTCATCAGATCTGCGTAGCTACGGCTTTCAAACAAGGGAATGGCATCGAAGAACGCAGACAGTTCCAGGCACAAGCAAACTTCCAGCATATTCCAGGAAAACAAACTAGCAATCAGCCAGTTGGTCTATAAAAGACGGGTAGATAGACTGACTACAATCCATTCAACTCACGCTGCCTCCTCCACCAGAGCTCGCGTGCCGCCTCTCTCGCCAACGACCACCAAAGATAGGAATTCAAGTTCGGCTTCAGCTGAACTTCACCGTCAACTTCGCAAAGCTCTTCACGAGACCTACTAAGAAGCGCATGCGCTGCTTTTCGGGTGGTTGTGTTCCTCCTGGCCGCCATGACAACATCCTCCCTGGACTATACCCGCTTGGGGAGTGGTCTCGACTCTGGGCCCGCCTGCTGCCGCCCTGCAAGATGGCTGCGTTGGAGAGCCGCGATTGTTGCTCATCCGCTTATTGAATGACCCTTTGTCCATTTCACCTACCTGCTGAGGTCTGTTTTGTCATAAAGTCCACCTCGGCGCCCAACAGACGCAGCAGCTACTACCTCAGTTCAGTCAGCACTTCAACTTCACGATCCACTCAATCTTCCGACAGACTCGGCGGTTGCCACAGGCACAAGTAGCTTCTTACCCGCATAGTCGACTATCTGGACAGCAGTGGCTAATGCTTGCGCCAACTGCAACCGGCTCTTGTACCCTTGCCCTGGAAAAGCGTTCATCGACCGCGCTCTACGAGAATCTCTTCATCGACCGTCACAATTACATTCACAATGCCAATATATAAACCGAACGAGCAAGTCGATCGCTTAACACATCGACTGACCAACTTGCCAAGAAGCGAATCCCTTATATTCCCCCCTACCGTGTCTTCGCCTCGGACCCATCACCTACTGACTTCGTCATCTGGGATGTTATAACACCGTACTTGCATAACACCAAATCATATATAACACCATTGTTCAGAAGACAACAACTTCCCTGTTCGAAAACAATCACCAAATCACCCTGTATATAATCTGCGCCGATTTGTGCTCCTTCTCCTCGACACCGACATCCTCAACACCGACATCCACGACACCCACTCCACATCCACTACGCATCGACAACACATATCCTCTTCGCAACACACCTTCTCCTCATACCCTCTACCGCAACTTCTCCTTATAACCGCTACACGCTACCGCAGCAATGAAGTTCACCTTCATCTTCAGCTGCCTCGGAGCCGTGATGCTCAGTGCATTGCTGGCTGCGTCCAGCGCGCAGCATCACTCCACGTATAAAGATGGTGGCGACCTGACCACGGCGGTTGGCGAAGCCGTCCAACCCGTGGCGGAATTCGAAACCAAGATCAGGCCTGCTGTCGACGCAGCCCTACGCACACTCTCCGAAACCATCAGCTTCGGAATTTTCTACGGCCTCCACGACCCCGAATGGTTCGAGCAAGAGGCAGCCGCCGCCAACCACCGTCAGAATGGGGCGTCCTCCCGAGACCCCTTCTGGTTCAGCCGGACGTTCCTGGGGCCTCTGGGTCTCTTCCAGCTGCCTCCCGCTCCCGGCACGAACCCGCACCACCCCGCATGGACCGGCGCCGACATGGCCTCGAAGATGCACTGGGCGAGCGTGTGCGAGACACACGACCGTCTCCACGAGGTCGCCCGCAACTTGGTCGCAGCCGCCCGTGAGCCTCTGGACGCTGTCACGGCCGCTCTCGAGCGCTTCGGCCCGGTCGAACAATTCGTGGCGGACATGGTTGGCGAGGAGCTCGCCATCCGCGACTACAACGCCGCCGCCGAGATGTGGGGCAACCGGTCGCTCGCTGGTCTCCTGCCGCCGGAGCTCGACCGCCCTCCCGTCGATGTGCACGAGCTCGCGCGCGTCAACAGGTATCTGGAACAGACTGGGGGCACCCTGCTGGCGTTGCAGCGCGGGCTGCTCGACTTCCAGAAGCTCACTTTGTCGAGCGCCATTGACGAAGTGACCGCCATCTGCAACTCGCGTGATGCGCGCGGCGTCAGCGTGGACAGGGACTGGGACAGGGCGCGCACGCTGCTCCATGACGTATGGAAGGAGTTCGAATTGGGGATCGCCGAGTGGTATGACGGCATGGACTTCGACAACATTTGAGAGAGGCTTCCAAGGAAACCAGCTAGCTCAAGGATTGTCTGCAAGGAATCTGCTTTTACTACCTGTATGCCATGCTAAGACGAGGGGTTTCACTTCTGAATAGCATTTCTGTTCTGTTCTATCCCCTTCTTCCCTTTCCCTAGCTTAGAAATAGATTGCTTTTTGACATGAGATTACTGTGCTGTTCGTTAGCTCCAGAAACAATACACGGCGCCTCTTTATTTGTGTTGAATAGTGTAAAGTGATTGAATTGTATACTGCTGAACAGCAGAATAACCGTAGAAACTACCTGTTTATATACGCCATTCGTTCCTGCACGTGCATCAAAGTATCGTGAATAAGTCACACTTTGCTGGTGAGACAAACAGGGGTTCTGCCTTGGTGTTGAGAAAAGAACACGAGATATACGGCAGATAAACGCGGAGCAAAAAGAAAAGCACAGTCTGACAGTTTGATATTTCTATCTGATTTAGCAACAGCAAGCCCGAAAGTAAGACAAAGCCGGGTCAGAAGACAGACTGCTGCCTGAACCCCCGTTCCGCGACATATACAGCACGAAACGGCGGGCAAGAATCCCCGGTCGGCAATCGGAGTGAATAAGGCGGGAGGCGTCGGCCATTATGATGCCGCGTTGTGGAACCATTTCCAACAACTCTGGTTGGCGGCAGGCAATGAGCGGCGCTGGATAGGTAACTGTAGTAATGGCCAAATCGCCGCATCTTGAAAATATGAAATAATAGAAAACGTCAATCTTACTGAATAATCTATCAATAAAATACCCCTGGAAGAAGTATTCGTTGCCATCTCACTTGCGCTACCTTTGTTCTCTTCGGTATTGTCCTGAACAACTGCTGACTGGTCCAAGACATTGGGAGTGCCGTCTACGCCATCATCCCGCCTGTCGGACGGCAGAACTTTTTGACGGGAGCTGCTGGAGGGCTGCCTCCACCACGAGGGTCTGCGCCATCTTGCTCCGATACGGAAACGTGGGCGGTAGAATTAACATCTGTGCCACCATCCGTTTGCTCCGATGCGGAGACTTCGGAGCAGCTACCGGGAGAGCCGCTTCCACCAGCCTCCTCGACCGCCTGCTCACCCCGCTTTTCTGCGCCAGAGACAGTCGATTCGGGCATCCTCCACCTATAGCCTTGGAAGCTGACACATTTGTGGTCAAGCTGCTGCGCACTGATGCTCTGCATGTGGGCTTCTGCCGCCAGTCACCGGTGCCGCCTCCCCCACGCCTTTTTTTTTGTCGGGGTGATGTCACGTCTGCTCGCCGCGCATGATTTCCGGAACAGGTGAAGGGCAGCGAGATGAACGAGCGCCAGCATGTGATCCGTGATTTGACGGCTAAGCCGAAGGCGCATCGCCTTGCAGACGAAAGGGCGTCGCCCGGGCACTCTTCGTGTGCTAGGTTCCCGAGCCAATCGCACCTCTCAACTTCGCGGTGGCTCTCCCCGTCGAGACACAGACATCGGGATTGATTATGCCCAAGCGGTCGGTTTTTAGCCTAGCTGCTTGGAAAAATATCCTACTGTGGCGGCGTGCTTCCGGCCTCTTTGAATCTGACCCTTTGACCAGCTGCCCGATCAAAATGCTGTACAACCCACCCTCACCTCACCACCGCTCAAGACCGCAGCTCGTGCACAATTGCTTTGGTCTTGAGCGCCAAGTGGCGTGTTTTAAAGAGCGAAGAGTCTTCCTTCCACCGCGAACACGCTGGCTCTCTGTTAACCCATCACTTCGAAGCCGCCGTGCGCTTGACACTGACAGCTTAGTGGTGCCAAGATCTGCTCTTCGGAATGAGAGACATACACCCGAACAAGCAATTATTATAGCCGAGGACACCAGGCAGTCATCAACGTCGACTACCTGGTCAGCTAACGCTGTCCTCTGGCATCAGGTTGTCAGGCCCAGGCAGCACTGCCAGGCACCTACGCCGCAGGGGTGCAAGAGGCTTGGGGCTGGGCTAGACCCGGGCCATGCGCGGGCTCAGGAAGCCTTAAAACCAAGCAACTGGAAAGAGGGCTGTTGACAATCCACCCCCTTCGCGCGGACGGTGCCTAGCGCCAAGAATAGCAGGGGCTTAAAACAGGGAATGACTGTGCCAATTCAGATGATGTAATAAGTCAAGCTCGCAGCGTCTGCTGTTTTCGGGAGTTTACAGGCATCTGATAGATTAAAAGAGCGAACCCACGCTAGCCACCGGTCGCGCGAGGGGGATGTACAGGCATCTGATAGATTAAGAAAAGCAAATTCACGCCAGCCACCGGCTGCGCGAAGGGGGTGTAATGCATAGGTCTTATGCTGGCACTCTGACTCATTAATGGACTGTTACACAGTGCTGACCCTCTGCAGATACCCAGGTGTAGTTGGGCTTCAACAAAAGTACCTCGCCGCAAAAATATGCGTCAGCATGCACGTCGCTGAACCTGTCATTGCACAATGAATAGTAGCGCTAAGGAGCTTCCCGCACGTAAGCGATTGATTGTTATACATTAATACGAATTGCGTCACACTCTGGACTACTTAGAATAAGCCGGAAAGTCGGTCTTGGCTGCGTAACTATACATGCTACATGTCTTGAGCTTATAGGCTGTCCTGGTGAGGCCATCGTCCATGCACACAAATCAGGGTGCCAGCTGCATACATGATGCGTCTGCCTGCCGCGGCAGTTTTTTCTCGCTGCATGCTCACCAAAACAGTACAAGAGGCTTATGTCGAATCACCGAGCGACTGTAAGTGCGCCTCGGCGGCTCAGAGAACTGCAATATATAACTTCAAGCGCCTTCACTTATTAACAGAATTGTCACACCCTTCACGAAATCTCAAACTTGAATCTTCATTGCATTTTCCTAAAAGCCTACTCGCATATTCAACACTCAATCCTAATTGGCAGCTCAATTTCAGGGATTGCTGATGGACACCGGTAACCGAGATGCGGAGCCGTCCGATCAAGACTATCATCGGATCGAACACCAATCCTCAAACGCACATCAGGAAGACCATGCATCAAGAAGCGAAACCAACAGTACTGGCGACTACCTCTGCGCGCGATGCAAAGAGCTCGACATCGATAGACTTCCACCCTGGGACCGCTGTGAAGTGAGCGAGGGCATCACCCTGCCATGTATCGAGTTGGGCTCATCGTCAGAAATCTCGTCCGATCCAGAGTGCAAGCTATGCCAGGCCTTTTCGCGGCTCTGTTTTTGGCACCATTCCAACGTGAGAGACTTCGGTCAGCTATACATTCTAGCACAAATACCAAGTCTGCTCGCACTACCCCATGATATCTCCGAAAAGGTCAGCCGAGGAGATTTCAGGATATCTCAGGACTATAGAGATCAAACTTGGTTCATCATCCTGGAGAGGGTGAACGCAATCGGTGGGAATCTCAGTCCTTCTGCCACAGCTACGCGTGCGGGTTTTCTGGCGCCATACTCTTTGGATCAATCAGAAGGATTCACATATCGTGTCCGATCAGTCAATCCAACAGCACTTGACTATGCCTCATTGAAGGAATGGATTGGGTTATGCAGCACCAATCACGCTCGCTGTAATGGATCCACCATAGGTTCGATCAAGCCGATCCCGAATCTCAGAGTCATCGACTGTGCGACCCGTAAGGTCGTTCCCTACCCGAAGGGTCAACAATATGCAGCTCTATCCTATGTCTGGGGGAAACCAACTGGAGTCTCTTCCGACTCACAGGATTCCGATAGCTTACCGGCTGATCCTCCATTGACGATTCTGGATGCCCTCACAGCAACCCTTGAACTTGGATTTCGTTATATCTGGATCGACAAGTATTGTATACCGCAGCAAGCTGAGAAAGAAAAAGCCGAACAGATTCGCAATATGCATAAAATCTACCGAAATGCAGAAATCACAATCATTGCCGCGGCTGGTGAAGATCATCATTACGGCCTTCCAGGGGTCAGCCGAACGCCCCGCGATCCTCCACCGGCGGTGAAAGTTGGATCGCGTCGATTTCTCTCAACTGGACAATCTTTATCGCGCATCAATCGGCATTCGAAATGAAATTCTCGTGGATGGACATTCCAAGAAAGTCTTTGTTCGAGGCGCAAACTATTCTTCACAAATGATCAAGTGTTTTTCTAAAACCTTAACGTTTCTACGTAGATATAAAAGATCTTTATAATAAATAATATTCTTTAGCCTCTCTACTATAATAAAATAAAAAATAAATTAAATTTAAGTCTTAATTATATCTTAAAACAGTTAATTTTTAAAAAATATTTTTACTAAATAAATCGATATTCTTAGTATAAAAAATATTATTTTTTATTATAATAAGTAAATTTAAGTATTAATAGTTATATATATATAAAAATATACTTATATTTTAATTTCGTTGAGGGTGTTACGTTGTTATAAAATTTTAAAGATATGCTATTTGGTCCAACATATACTGTTTGGTCCGCGCGGCGCGAAACATATGCTGTTTGGTAATTACCCCAAATAAGAATGGAGAAACACAGCGAGGCAGTAGCACATAAAATAGCCAGTCCCGCTACTAGTTGCGTGAAGCATCAAAAGGAACTATAGGTCACAGCTAATAGCAAAGCTATTCTCGGATAAAGTGCGCCTAGATCAAGCTCCAAATATCCGGATACTACAGAGAAGAAAAGTCGGAAAATCCGTTTATTCTAATTGATTTTCAATATATGCAGAGAAATAAGCCTCCTATTGCGGCCATTCCCCAATTTCTACATGCCGAAGACTCCCCTTGCGGCTCCCTATCTCCAACTTAAATTCTGTGCCAAGATTTCCAGATTGATGGACATATTTGGAGCATGCGTTCACAATTCGATAACCCTCATGTTGGCCGTCACCTACAGAATGATGTCGCCGAGATTAGAAGTATGTTTCAATAATTGTTGCTGCCGTTTATGATAATCCAGATTCTTGAACAAACGGCTTTTGTTGGCTGAGATAGGGCTCAAGGACCTGGAAAAGGTCGGCAGCCATTGCCTTAG